GCGCAACTTCTCGCACCGCCAGTGTCATTTACTCCTTCACGTACTAGGTAGATACGACATGCACGTACGTAACAATCAGCCGCCGTTTTGTTCGACCGAACACACACGTCGACGCATGACTTGTTCCTGTCCAACCGGGACTAGGACTCGTGGTTAATCCCTGTTGAGTCAAACCTGTCTTCGATGCATGCATGGCTATGCATGCTTGGTTACAGCGGCAGCAGTAGCAGTTACTTAGCCAGGAGGTGGAAATGACATGCAGCTGCATGTCGGCAAGAAAAGCAGTAGCGGCTGCATGCCTTGGTAGTTAAGGAAACTACTAGTAGTAGTAATTTACTATGGTAAAAGCTGAGCAAGCTAGTCGTCAGCAGCGATGTAATCTAGGAGCTTGACGTAAGCTCATACATATAGTTAGTCGGTTCAGCTACCTATAAAAGGAGCTGCATCCCGGTTGTAAAACTCAGGCCATTCCAATTTCATTACAAGGCATTTCCTCCTTCTAGTACCACCGTGTGTGCTCCAAGCCTCAAGTGTTGTGTACTAGTACTACTACTACTACGTGTGTGTGTGTGATACACTAGTGAGTGTGTGAGTAGTACGTGTGCGTGCTCATCCACCGGTCATCTATCAGTGTACTCGAGTGCTAGCGAGTAGTTCTGGGCTGACAATTGGTATCAGAGCCTCTGGTTGTGGTAGCCATGGCCGGTGGTAAAGGAGTGCAGCAGCGCACCACCTCGGGTGGTTCCCAGTCGCGGCCATCACAGGACGGCTCCCAGTCGCCGGCTCCGGAGGAGCGGCGAGGGCGCAGCCGCTCCAGGCGCGGCCATCGCGGTGAGGTCGTGGTTAGGGAGATCGTGCGCGAGACCGCAATCAGCGGTAGCTTGCCCATCACCTTCCCGATGCTCACGCGCTCGAACTACAGCGAGTGGGCGTTGATCATGGAGTGCAACCTTCATGCGGCGAGCCTCTGGGCTCCCATGGAGGACGACCTGATCGAGAGAAAGGAGGACAGGAAAGCCGTGGCGGCCCTCATGCGCGCCACGCCGCCGGAGATGCACGGCATGCTCGCGGCGAAGGCAAGCGCCAAGGAGGCGTGGGAAGCCATCCGTACCCAGCGCCTCGGCAGCAACCGCGTGCGTGAGGCGAACGCGCAGAAGCTGCGGGCGGACTTCGAGAACATCGCCTTCAAGGAGGGCGAGCTCGTCGACAACTTCGCCATGTGGATCTCCAGCCTTGCGTCACAGCTCCGCGCGCTCGGCGACACCATGGACGACGCGAGAGTCGTGCGGAAATTTCTCCGCGTCGTTCCACCTCGTTTCGCTCAGGTAGCGGTCTCCATCGAGACTTTGCTTGACCTGAGCGAGCTCTCCATCGAGGAGCTCACGGGCCGGTTGCGGGTGGTCGAGGACCGCCTTGATGACGGCCGCGAGAGCTTCGGCGGCGGACAACTCCTATTCACGAAGAAGTGGGAGGCGAGGAAGCGTCAAGGACGTGGTGGCGGTGCCCAGAGCAATGGAGGCGGCACCGGCAGAGGCGGCGGTCGCACCCAGGGCGGAGACGGACGAGGTGCCGGCAACGACGACCGGGACAAGTGCCGATATTGTAGCATCAAGGGCCACTGGGCCCGTGAGTGCCGCAAGAGGATGGCTGATGAGGATGCCGCGGCCGCGGCGAACCTCGTCGAGGCTGAAGAGGACGGTGGGCCAGCAATGATGATGGCTTGCGTCGAGACCATGTAGGAGGGCACAGCGCCTCCGGCAACCATGGTCCCGACAAGCATCGAAGCCGTGCAGGAGGGCGCAGCACCTCCGGCGACCACGGTGCCGGCAACCGTCAAGTCTGTGCGGGAGGCACGGAGCTCTTCAAATAATCCCCTCCCCACATCGGTAGCGCTCTCCCCGACAACAACGTTCTCGGGAGATTTCGATTGGGAGGAGATGAAGACCCGGGTGTGGGGGAGCCACACCCCGGCAACCACGTCCCTTGTGACGCTGGTCAAGCCCGTGCAAGTTGGCACAGCAATCGGGGCCCCGACATCCTCGGGACCCGACAAGCCCGTGCAAGTTGGCACGGCAAAGGCGTACCCGACATCTTCGGGACCCAATAAGCCCGTGTCAGGAGGCACGGCAACGACGCATATGGTGGGCCATGTCCCAACCATGATGCTGGTGACCAGTGAGACCGTGCAAGAGGCACGACACTCTCAGGTCGGCCATACCCCGACAACCAGGTTCTCGGGGTTCTGCAAGCCCGTGTGGGCAACACGGCACTCTTCGACGGGCCTCAACAGCTGGGAGGCCATGAAGAGACGGTCATGGGGCGGCAAGGCCTCGACCGTGACTCTGGCGACCATCGAGGCTGTGCAGGAGGCGCGGTGCTCTATGGTCAGCCACGCAGCAACCCTGACGCGCTCGGGGTCCATCGAGTCCGTGCGGGAGGCACGACTTACGTTTGTCGGGGGAGACCCGACAAGCAAGTCTGATGGGAAGAGCAGCAAGGACTCCGCTACCCTGAGAGGAACCACTCCGGTCAGTGTGACGTCCGGCACAACGACCCTGGGATGGGAGTTCCCGGGCAGTGCGGCGTCCGGCACGACGACCCCAGGAAGGGAATTCCTGGGTAGTCCGATGTCCGACAAGTCATCCCCGGGAAGGGAGTTCCCGGGTAGCGTGACGTCCGACACGACGACCCCGGGAAGGGAGTTCCCGGGCAGTGTGACATCAGGAACTACGACCCCAGGAACACTGACGCCCACGAGCGAGGTGGTTCCCGGGCAGTTCATGTCCCCGTCAACAGCGCGGTCGGACTTGTTCGATGCCAACAAAAATGGTGGCGATCCACACAGGTTCCGAAGCCTAGGGGGACCTTCTCGAGCCCGCGAGACGATCGCAGCACCCGAGATTAAGAAGCACGAACAGGGCATACGGGCCGCCGAGAAGGCGGACATCCCAACGAAGGCACTTGGTTGCGTCGAGTTCCAAGAGCCGCACGACAGGACCGGGATCATCAAGACCCTCCTACAGGTTTGAGGGGGAGATTGTTGAGTCAAACCTGTCTTCGATGCATGCATGGCTATGCATGCTTGGTTACAGCGGCAGCAGTAGCAGTTACTTAGCCAGGAGGTGGAAATGACATGCAGCTGCATGTCGGCAAGAAAAGCAGTAGCGGCTGCATGCCTTGGTAGTTAAGGAAACTACTAGTAGTAGTAATTTACTATGGTAAAAGCTGAGCAAGCTAGTCGTCAGCAGTGATGTAATCTAGGAGCTTGACGTAAGCTCATACGTATAGTTAGTCGGTTCAGCTACCTATAAAAGGAGCTGCATCCCGGTTGTAAAACTCAGGCCATTCCAATTTCATTACAAGGCATTTCCTCCTTCTAGTACCACCGTGTGTGCTCCAAGCCTCAAGTGCTGTATACTAGTACTACTACTACTACTACGTGTGTGTGATACACTAGTGAGTGTGTGAGTAGTATGTGTGTGTGCTCATCCACCGGTCATCTATCAGTGTACTCGAGTGCTAGCGAGTAGTTCTGGGCTGACAATCCCAACAATATAGATCCACCTGCTAGACGCGTCTGAGGAAATTAAGCTGCGTACGTACGTATGCATGCCGACGCCATGGAAGTCGCCGGCGGCAAAGGCAAACGAAAGCGCGCCCCCTCCTCCGATGCAGGCGCAGGCGGCGGCAGGGACTGGCTGAGCGACCTTCCGGACTGCCTCCTCCACGGGATCCGCTCGCACCTCCGGTCCCGGCAGGCCGTGCAGACGTGCGCCCTGTCGCGGTGGTGGCGCCAGCTCTGGCGCGTCGTCCCCTGCGTCGACATCGACGCCGCGGACTTCCTGGTCCAAGTAGATGGGACTCCCACGATTGTTGTCTCCGATCTTTCGGATCACGAGGCCGAGGCGGCGCTGGCCAGGCTGGAGGACTTCGCTGACAGTCTGCTGCCCCATCGCAGCCTCTCCGCCGCCTCGAAGTCGGGGCCGGCGTTGGACACCCTGCGCCTGCGCATCCATCGCCAGGACACAGGATGCCCACGCAGCAGCACCGGCACGGCGATGCTCAGCAGGTGGATTCGCCGCGGCCTGAGGCTGTCGCCAGCGGTGCTCGACGTGACCGGCGACGGCGGCCCGATCAAGCTACCCTCTCTCTTCTCCTCTGCCGGCGCTGGCGCTCGCCGCATCACCAAGCTCCGCCTGGACCATAGTTGCCAGGAATCAGGGTCGGCCGGGTCGAGGAACGGGGTCGCGGGTCGTGGTTAGCCACCCCTCCGGATCGAGGTTCGACGAGGGGTATACCGTATACATCTCCGGGACGTCAATTGGGAACGTGGGTCGCGACCCAAACTATTTCGGGTCGATGACCCTGGATCATGGTGATTTTGCCATGGATGGAAAGAGAGATCCCGCCATTCCCGCCTGAAAAGATTATGATCTGAGTGGTGATTTATTTCCCTCCCACTTTCCCAGAAAAAATGACGCCACAAGTCAGCCGTCTAAGGCGTGACCTTCTAACTATTCCCAAATCTTTCTTCTTTACTTCATCTGCAGAGCTCTAGTCCCCGATCCCATTCCAAGCCACGAGTCGTTCAGCATTCCTCCGGTTTGCCCTTCCAGCTTCCATCGAGGCCAAATCTTTCACACCAAGCGTTTATCCATCGAGGCCTCTTATCCATCAATGGCAGGACTATGGGAGCGAGGTGAGAGAGGGTGGATACCACACCAAGAAGCTCGACGACCGGCGGCGAGTGGCAGACTGCAGACGACGGACACCAACAGTCCGGTGGAACGCACCCTCGACCCGCGAACCCGGCTACTATGATCTAGATTGCTTCAGCATTTTTATCCTATCCGCATTCATGCAAATTGTAAGGATATAGTGTAGAGTCACGCTATAGGAAAATTCTCGCGTTTCACGTGCTAGTGTTGTCCTTTACAAAATAATAATATAAAACACATAACTTTTCACACCTAATTATATGGTGAAACACGATTAGAAGGTCATAGCACCAACTCTGGAGGGAACAGCCAAGTTATCCCCTGGGATGGTGTACAAAATCTTTTTTGTCTCGAAGTCTGAGTCTTCATATCGAACAGCTCGCCTGTGTCGATATCATAAATGACATCCTCCTCGATATCTCCACAAGGTGCTGAAACGGACTTAGAGAAATTCATGCTAATGAAGAGTGCCCGGCCGCCGCCTAACCCATCGCTAACATCCAATGGCACCCATGCGCCCGTGCTTGCATCCGCCTCCAATATTTCCACACGACGAGTACATATGGAAACCGTATAGTATTTATGCCGCCTCACCATGAGGAGTTTTCCGGATGACACGATGAGATGTCGTGAAATAATGATGAACTCGCCAGTTACTTTGCCATGTGTAAATTCACCCGAGAAACTTGAATGATGGCTGCCATCATCTTCTGGGGGCACCTCGTCATCGAGAGCTATCTCCTGCTCCTCGTGATCCTCGTTCCCATCCTCCTCTATATCCCCATCGTGGTCAGGCACGTCCTCCTCTTCTGTATCATTACCGTCGTCACCATCTTCTTCATCTCTCTCATCATCACTATGATCTTCATCATCATCATCGGAAGTGTTCCACGCATCATAACCATCATAACCTGGTGGTTGCCTGATAACACGCTTGCCAATGGTGACTAGGGGCTTGCCATCGCCATCCAATGCAAGATTGAGGGGGATCAGGTCCTCAGCCTTGGTTATGGCGTAGAGTGTGCTTCCCAAAAACGCCACATCGATGATGTTGATGTAGGGAGCCGTGCACGGGCGTGGCACCCACGCTCCTGTCCCTTGCCGAAACACAATGATCGGGTAGTTCTCATTGTTTGTCACGAGGGCGACGAAGTCGTCGACAGTGGAGCGCATGAGGAACTTGTAGATCAAGCAGGTCCCAGTGTTGATGATGACGTCGTTGAGCACGGTGAGCGGCACGGTCGTGTTGGAGAAGGGGTTGTGCAGGACGAAGCCGGTGTAGATGCACCTGCTCCCCTCCTCGGACGTAGCCGGCCGACGGCAAGCCAGGAGTCCGTGGAGCCGACGACCCCGACGCCGTCTTCGGGGAAGCATAGAAGGTTATACTCAGGAGCCGTCGAAGGGGATCATGACGCGGTCGTCCCATGACATGACCGACGTCGCTCGTGGCGGCGCACGGCGGCATGCCACGACCGACAGACGGCGGCAAAGCGCACACGGTCGACAGGCAAAGTGCCGAAACAGGCGATGACGATGCCGAGGAGATCCAGCGGGAGGTCGGACCACGACGCCATATTAATTATGATCCAATCGATCGATGTTGTTTCTTTCAGATCAGATCGACGCAAACGATGATGCGTACGTTCATATATATAAGCTCGTGTGTTGGTCGGCTAGCCCAGCAGCAGGACTCTCCGTATGTTTTTTTGTTGGGAAACGTTTAAAATAAGTCGGATGATTTTTTTGATTCATCAGCCGCGTCACGCGCCGTCTGATCGCACGCGATCGTGTGGCGCTGAGTGCGCTCGAAGCGCCTCTGTCCATCATGCGAGTTAGCCTGCCCAGCTATCCTGGCTGCGTAGCATCTAGCCTGCTATGCTCAAAAAAAAAAAGCATCTAGCCTGCTCACCTAAAGGTACGTGGTCCCGTTTCTTTTTCTTTTGCTTTTTACATCGCACGTAGCGCTTTACCACATACTAGCTACATACTCCCATATGATACTCCTGGCTACAAATAATATCAAAATAATAAGTTCAAAAAAGAAAAATCTTAAGCTGAAACACATAACAAGCACCAAACGAGGATTCCTAGTTTCCAACACCGTTTTCTTGACATTGGTCGTGGATGTTTGCTGGATTTTGGTACTAGCAAGTTCATGGAGTCATGGTTGCTTTGGATATAGCAATATTTGGAGTAGTGTCCTTGATGATGCGGCCGTTGAAGCATCCCATCACAGCATCTGCGGAACAGCCGGGTTGTCGTTGTAGTATCATCGAAGCAGCCGTGCCATCGTTGTCGCAGCACCGCCTCGACCAGGAAGCACACCGTCACAACATCATCGGAGCACTCGGGCCTTTGTCGCAACATTGTTGTGACCGTTTGAAGCATGCCGCCGTCGTGGTTGGTTGCAGCATCATCACGGCTGTTGAAGCACCCGTTGCGGCCGTCGAAGCACGACGCCACAACATCGTCGAAGCACCCGAGCTGCCATCGTAGCATCGCCGCGGCTGTTGAGGCACCTGCCGCGGTCGTTGAAGCATACCATCGCAATATCATTGAAGTAGCCAGGTTGTCGTTGTAGTATCGTCGAAGAAGTCGTGCCATCGTCGTAGCACCACCTCGGCCAGGAAGCATGCTGTCACAACATCATCGGAGCACTCGGGCCTTCGTCGAAACATTCTTGTGACTGTTTGAAGCATGCCACCATCGTGGTTGGTTGCAGCATCATCACAGCTATCGAAGCACCCATCGCGGTCGTCGAAGCACGACGCTGCAACATCGTCAAAGCAGTCGGGCTGCCATCGTAGCATCGCCGCGGCTATTGAGACACCTGCCGCGGCCGTCGAAGCATGCCATTGAAATATAATTGAAGTAGCCAGGTTGTTGTCGTAGCATCGCTGCAACCTTCCAAGCACACCGCGGCTATCAAAGCATGTCATCGCAACATCATCGAAGCAGTTGGGATGCAATCACAACATCGTCGTGGCTGTTGAAGCACCTGTCGTGGCTGCCAAAGCACGCCATCGCAATATTATTGAAGTAGCCAAGTTGTCGTCATAGCATCGCCGCAACCTTCAAAGAACACCGCGGCTATCAAAACATATCGTCGCAACATCATCGAAGCAGTCGGGCTGCAATCATAGCGTCGTCGCGGCCGCCAAAGCACACAACCGTCGTGCCATCCTTGTGGCCGTCGAAGCATGTCGTCGCAACATCATTGAAGCCTATCTTCACCACATCATTGAAGCGTTTCGATGACCTTGAGGCAACACGACGACGCTCCTGTCGTCGGGGCAAGACAAGTTTATGCTGCTGACCAGATACGCGATGTTGCAAGGTCAACTGTCGTTGTTTTATTGTTTGTTGCAAAGTTGGTCGCCCGCCGCTGCAAAGCTTGTTGCATAAGTGAAAGAAAACCCTGAAAACATGGCTTTTTTGGTCTATTTGTCGACTGTTAAAAAATGCGTTTCTAGTTTAACGACCCTTTTACAAGGGTCTACGTTATCTATATAAAAGATTGAATTACTTTTTACTTTTTTTGTCGTTTTTTTTTGCTGCAGTAGCTGGTATGTTTAATTGCAAAAATACGACCAAGTTTTCTTTTCTTTTCTTTTTCATCTTTGTAAAATGTAATCAAGTGAACCGCTGCAAAAAATGTGATTAGATACAAGGCAGACACGGCTATAGACTAGCAGCATTGACCAAAGCGCTCTGCGGTGGAAAGCAACGTGTGCATGTAACTAGTCATAGTGGTGTAACTTAGGTAGTAACTTAACACATCCCAAGACAATTTAACTTATAAATCATTTTTATTTAAGACAAACATTTTTTAATGCCATGATCTGGTTGTTGTATTTTTGGTGTGTGTACTTAGCCGTTATCTTTTTTTATTCTTAAGTGCACCTAGCAAATAACTTTGTGCATGCAAATAAGGAAATTGATTTTTTTTACAGCAGCGTGGGATTCCTAAAGATCCAAAATTTATTCCACAAGCAAGAGTGCAACACATATTATAAAGGGCCTTATAGAAATTGGAAAATACAAGCAAATCCCTTGACTTTTGCAAGAAGGACGATGAACTGGAATTGAAAACGCGACTGAGTCCACCACCTCCACACGGGATTCACTCACTGTTGCCGGGGGAAAAGCCACTTGAGGCAATGAGGGCGCCATAGCGCGACTCCATGGCTTACGACGAGAAGTAGTACTTCCTCCCATATGGCATCATGGCGGGAGGAACAGGAAACAACCACCCTTCGGCTTGAAGATGCAGTGGCATGGCGATGTTGGCCGGCCTTCCATGGTGATTGTAGGAGCCAGATCCAACCTTCCACCATGATATGCTCGAACCTAACCTGCCAGATCCAGGCAGCCTTCCGCATCTCCATCGGTGGCGAGCAATCACCTCGATGGCCTCAACAGCAGAGAAGAAACAACCAACCTTCTTGTTGATCGGGGACTCGGCGAACCTCAAGCTTATTTTCTAGGACTCCAACTCCAATCCATCCAGCAGTAGTGAGCCAATCACCACCACCGTCAGGAGCATCACGAGAAACCACTGCACGCAGCTCGGGTGCGCCGACAGCAAGATCCTCACCGCATGACACCAATCTCCGGCACTAGGCCAAACTCCTCTAAGGAAAAGCTAAAACTAAACCTAGTAACTACAATGGAGCGCCGCGTGCCTTCCCCATCTCCTCTCTGATCGGCGTCGGCGGGGCCGAAGGTCCGGGATCAGGCCGAGCCCGAGTCGCCTCTCTTGACAGTACCAAGGGAGAAGAAGAAAAGAGAAAAGAACCCAGGAAAGTTGAAAGTGATGTATTCACTAGTAGAAAAAAGGTCTTTCGTTCGGGCCTGGCCAGCCCATTAGTCCCCTACGAACCGGGACCAATGGAGGCATTTGTCCCGGTTCGAGAGCCCAAGGGGCCGGCCGGGGCCTCGTGGACATTGGTCCTGGTTCATCTGGGTCCATTTGTCCCGGTTCTTGGCACGAACCGGGGCTAATGGGCCTCGCTCCTGGCCCACAAATATTGATTCCGGTTCGTGGCAGGAACCGGGACAGAAGGAAGGCCTTTAGTCTCGGTTCCATCCACGAACCGGGATAAATGAGTTGCCTATATATACCCCATCATCGGCGAGCAGAGCACTCCACAGTGCTCTGTTTTTTGCTGGCCGGCGAGAGGGAGGGCATTGGATGCTCTAGCTCACCTCCTATGCACATGAGGTGTTCAATGAAATGCCTGAGCCACACTAGTTAAGCTTTCTCCTCTCGAAGCTCGACCTCCGAGCTTCATTTTTCCCGAGATTTGTCTAGGTTTGTATTAGCGGTCCGTCACGCCCCATTCCCGTCTTCACCGCCATCGATTGCCCGCGCCGATCTCGTCGTCGGGACCACCGTGGTGAGCCTCTTGTTCTTATCTTCTTTCTGAAAAAAAAATCTTACTTTACATAGATACTTGTCTAATTTTATTATTTTTGACACACATAATTATGTATAATGCACGCAGATGAACCGGCAATGGATGTACGGTGACAGACACACCTTCGAGTACATTAAGGGCGTGCATAATTTTATCGAAGTGACTGAGGCAAACAAGCAGAATGGTTTTATGTGTTGTCCATGCCCTAGCTGTGGGAATACGAGGTCTTACTCTGACTCGAAAACCCTTCACACCCACCTACTTTATAAGGGTTTCATGCCACACTATAATGTTTGGACCAAGCACAGAGAAATAGGGGTTATGATGGAAGACATCGAAGAAGAAGAGGACGATGACAACTATGTTCCCCCTGAATACGGTGATGCTGCAATGGTGGAAGCTGCTGAAGATCAACGGGAACCAGACGATGTGCCCGATGATGATCTCCGTCGGGTCATTGTTGATGCAAGGGAAAAGTGCGAAAGTGAAAAGGAGAAGCTGAAGTTCGATCGCATGTTAGAGGATCACAAAAAAGGATTATACCCCAATTGCGATGATGGCAACACAAAGCTCGGTACCGTACTGGAATTGCTGAAGTGGAAGGCAGAGAATGTTGTGCCTGACAAATGATTTGAGAAGCTACTGAAAATATTAAAGAAGAAGCTTACAAAGGATAACGAATTGCCCAACAGTACGTACGCAGCAAAGAAGGTCGTATGCCCTCTAGGATTGGAGGTGGAGAAGATACATGCATGCCCTAATGACTGCATCCTCTACCGTGGTGCGTACAAGGTTTTGAACGCATGCCCGGTATACGATGCATTGCGGTATAAGATCAGACGAGATGACCCTAGTGATGTTGAGGGCGAGCCCGCCAGGAAGAGGGTTCCTGCGAAGGTGATGTGGTATGCTCCTATAATACCATGGTTGAAACGACTGTTCAGAAACAAAGAG